GTCACAGGTGACCAGATTACTTCCCGTGCACCAATCGAAGCGTATGAGATGTCATTCGACGCGTCTCGATCTCCTGATGGGAAACTGAGAATTTCTTTTCGGATCCCGCTAGAATATTTCAAGATATTTACAAAACGTGATTTTTCGTATTTTGGCGCTGCGATCTAAGTGATTATGCCAGGAATTACACCAACGTCTATATCGAGATATGAAGGTGGCGTTAATTAAATACCAGAACCCAAAGGCATTTTTTGCTTATTACTCGGAACTTATTGTACTTGAAAATTTTTTAGTGAAAACAGAACTGTGAGTAATGCTAGAGAATGAATGGACGTTGTGTCCGACTTCGCACTTTTACGTTCATACGTAAGTGTGCAAATGCCGTTTAAAAATGAATGTGACTCACAACGTATTCGAATTAACTAACACCCTATTCATAAAAATATAGAAAACAGTCACATTTTAATGTTGATTCGCATGTAACGCTGGATTTGCATACAAAACGGTTAATAGAGCAATTGCAGTAGTAGAAGTGATCACAAATTGGACTAAGTTTGTAAAGTCTTCAAAAATCTCTCTCTTCACAACTTAGGGGAGATAAATATGGAAGTTTTAAGGAAATTCGGGGAAGAGTTAAATGTAGTTGTAAAAGATGTGATAGAATTTTCGGAACTAATTTAAAATTATCTGTGTTTTTGCAATAACATTGTTTTAATTCATTTGTGTTAGGTGCATTTTTGTGCATATTATGAAAAAAGCGTACAAATTTAGCTGTGCAAATATTTAACTATTAGCATCAAAACCTGTAAGTGTTTGTTACGACGATTATAATTTTGAAATTGCAATAAAACCAGTTCATATCCCGCATGGAGGTAACACACAAGGCCATTGGCTGTTGGGAAATCTTGAACGGGAGTATAACATTATCATCTACTTAAGTCCAATACCAGACTACTGAATTAACTTATTTAAACAAAGCTGAGCATGAAATAAATGCAGCTTGACAGAAATTTTCAACATATGAAACTATTTTTAAAACAGTTCACAGTGTCCGCGACGCCCCATTTTGTTAGTGGTCTAAATAATGCTAATATAGAACAATTAAAAATATGAGAAAACATACTGAATAAATTAAAACACTTATAACATCGATATCTATCATTGTATATCATTGTATTAACCCAATAATATCTTATTATTTTATTTCGTGAACTGTCAATTTTGTTTTCTTTTACAATCAACCGTTGTTTGAAATGTTTTACGAATGTAAAATTAATCATATCGAAGCAAATCTTGAGTTAAAATATTTAGTTCTCAATGCACAATCACTAGGGGAAGTTGAAAAAAGACAATCATTTAACGCTACCCTTCATTTTAGAAAAATGAGATAAAACATATTCATTCAAAAATTCAAGTTATGCGTCATTATATGTCATTCCTACTTTCAATATAATAAGTGCCCCAAGACATATGGTCTGGATAACCTGAAGGTTATTATTTTATCATAAAAATAACCTAAAGTATGTGCTAGTAGATGTGCTATCGATGCAGTAAATCTTAAACCATTAAACAATATTGAAAAGCGCATATTGGATCCTATTCAAGATTATCATGCAGTTAATTTAAAGTATTTGAGAAATAATGTATTTATGTTTGTGAATATACGTGCACCACTGGTTAATAATAAAGAATTTATGTTTTTTTATGTCTGGATAATATACAGGTGGTACATATATTGAAGTTACATGAAATGTTCAAATCATAAAGTTTGAAGTAAATATAAATATTAAATATATTTATATCTTAGTCACATCGAAAGATGATAGAGAAAACGGATATGAGTTGACGCAAACATTACGATTCAATAAAAGAGATAAAATAGCTTTGAGAAGCAGTAAATATTTTAAGATCGTACCATTTTTTCTTGAATTATTCATTGAACGTAAATGTAATATATGCAGAGAATTTGTGTGAAGGTTGGTAACAACTTTTGCCTACACAAAAGAAAACAAAACTCTCCTAAATCGAGAATATTTCTCATTCGACAGTGTCATTTTCCAAAAGCTGTCCCGTTAGCAGGCTGCTACTACAGGGGTGGAGTTGCGCTCACCGCCCACGAGGCCAGAAGCAGCATGAAGTCGGTGGCGACGAAGGCCATGGCCAGCGGCGCGCGCACCACCCGCACACCCAGCGGCAGCGGCGCCTCCGTCGGCCCTGCGAACACCGCCCCACTCCCTGCACACCACGAACTCTGCGCACCACGCATCCTGCACACCTCGCAAACTCCACACCACGCCTCATGCACTCCACGCACCCTGCACACCTCGCTCCTTCACACCACGCAACATGCACTCCACGCACCCAGCATACCGCGAACCCTGCACACCTCGCACCTTCCCACCACGCATCATACGCACCCTGCACACCACGAACTCTGCACACCTCGTTCCTTCACACAACGCATCATGCGCTCCACGCACCCTGCACACCACGAACCCTGCACACCTCGCACCTTCCCACCACGCATCATACGCACCCTGCACACCACGAGCCCTGCGCACCACTTAACCCTGCACACATCGCAACCTCCACACCACGAACCCTGCACACCTCGCACCTTCACACAACGCATCATGAGCTCCACGCACCCTGCATACCACGAACCCTGCACACCTCGCACCTTCACACAACGCATCATGCGCTCCACGCACCCTGCACACCGCGAATCCAGCACAAATCGCGAAATTTTCTCAACTGACCATGGTGCCAACACGCGACACAGGAATCTTAGATTACATAGTACTCACAATGGCTGACATTACAAAATAGGCTACTCAGGAATTCTGTGATGAACATTTGTTGCATCTCGTAAACGTAGTTTGAAGCAAGTGCCATTAAAATATTAAAATATATTAAATAAACTAAAAAATACCGTAAAAAGGTAAAAAATGTCTTATTAGTTAAAATCGACAAAAAATGCAAAAATATGACATGAAATGGGTCATTTTTTTCATCATTACATAAAATGAACTTCTATACTAAACAAAATTGTTCTAAAGTGAAAAGAAAAAAAAATCATTAAAATCCGCCCCTATTTATTATGAACGAACAACTGTTTTTTTCCAATAACCAGTACATTTTATTGATTTGCAAATGAGTTCCGCCATCTTTCTTTCTTTTGACGTGCTCCTTACAACGCAGCAAAATCAGAAAGAAATCTGAAAGCGTAGCATGAAGACCTTAATTTAGTATTCAATTCATTCAATGGACGTTCCATTTCAAGTTTGGCTGAATTGAAAGACCTAAACATTTTGTTACCTTCATATCAGTCAAGGCACAATGGTTCATTTTCAATGGAGTACAGAGCGGTCTATTTGAAATGGAAAACTGCATTGAAACAGTTTCCTTTTCATTTACTATTAATTTGTTATTACGTAACAAATTTGAAACATCTGTTATTGTACTATTTACGGTTTCTTTATTGCAAAGAATATTCCTATAATAAGCAGAGACAATTGTTCTTCCGTTTCTAATCGGCGAGGGCAAATTGTTTACGTTTAGTAGGAAGAGAATGGGAACTAAAATCGATCCCTGTGGGTCTACACAAGCAATTTGCAAAGAATCGGAAAGATATGTACATATGTTCCATATATTCCAGTAAGGTATTTTTACTCTTTGAGATCGTTGTTTAAGGTACGAAAATAACCAATCTAGAGCAATAGCACGAATTCCATACGAAGGTAATTTTAGAAGTAAAATGTTATGACCAATGACATCAAAGCTTTTGAAAGATCTAAAAATATACCAATAAGTGCTTCGTTTAGATCCTTGAGTGAGGCGACATCTTTAATATAATATGGCATTTAAGAAAATATGGCATTTGCTATAGATTTTGATTTTTGAAAACCATGTTGGCAATCTGAAAATGCGCCGTATTTACTAAGAAATATTTCCATTCTTACCTAAAAGAAGTGTCTCTAATATTTTGAAAAAATTGACAAAAGATAAATTTATCGATAATTTTGAATTTCGTTTTTGTTGCTTTTTCTGAAAAGCGGCTTAATCTTGGCAGTTTTAAAAATATCGGGAAAAATACCTGTGCATAAGGATACATTAAATATGTGAGTTTATGGGTGTATAATGGCGGGCGCATAAGTCGTAAACAAACAATGCGGAAATTCATCTAAACTTGCTGAATATTTATTTTTTTAGTCTACCGATTATTTTGAAAATTTCATCGGAAGAAGTTATGGTAACGAACATCCTGTCTAAAATTTTGGGGGAAACATCTGATGTTGAATTTTGTGGCTGGAGGCCCTTAGTGAGACCGGCATCGATTCTCGAAAATTATTGGTTAAAGAGACATGCCACTCTTGTCGAATCGTTCACGTTTTTATCGTTATCATTTAAAACAACATTCTCTACAAGGTTTTCTAGTTGATTTGGTCAAATTTTTTACTACACTCCACATTGCTTTTGTTTTATTTTTTGAGTTCATCTTGATAATGTTTCATGATTTTAGCGTGCCTTATGACTTTTCTTAACAATGATTTGTATTTTTTAAAGTAGATGAGGAAATCTTGAGATACGTTTTGAGACGTTATGATGATGGAACATTCTACCTATTTTTTCCAAATTTGACATTCCTTTTACGAGTTAAGTAATATGAATGTCACCTGAGTTTGAAAGTGATATTTTGATTTTTTTAAAAGTACTTTTGATGAAGCTTCAAAAACATTTCCAAAAGTTTCTAAAAAATGTCTCTAACTTTTTCTAATAAACTTTACCCTCAGATAGCGCTTAGGACGTGTAGGAAAGTAGTGTAGGTCCCATGTTCGTTGAAATCTCTGATATTTCGAAACTTTCTAAAGTGCAAGTTTTTCGACGTCTTCCTACAACTACAATATTGAAGGTAGAGATTTTTCCTAAATAAAATCTGTTCTTTAAAGACGATTTTTGTCATTGACAAATGAAAATGTTATAAAATATCATTCATAAAATTTGAAAATATCTGTAATTTGTGTAAAATATAGACATTGTTTAAAAGCATTTGTAAATATTTTTTCTTAAGAAGGGCTTCAAATGTGTCCTTTAACTGTTTCTTCGTATTTTTTCTCAAAGGATGGAAAAAAATACCCTCATCTTCAAAACCTCATTTTTGGTGACGCTTCCTAATTCTCGATATTTTTCAAAAAGATAACATTTTAAAACCACAATATTAACGATAGAGATTTTTGCCTTAAACAAAATCTGTGCTAAAAACTATGTTTTTACAACAGACCATGTACAATGTTTAAAAAAATAGTCGTTTTCCTAGAATGTCTGCTTGAAATTAATGCAATTGACAAAAACACATTTTTTAGCCTCTTAAAAGTAGCACTGGCCTAATTTTCGTTGAACTTTCTGAATTTTCAAAAATATAAATTTAGATGGGAGTCCGGTGTCTTCGGGATTTATAATCTGCCTTGTGCACTGTCATTCAGCAAGTTGCTGCAAGTTTTACTAAGCTACTACTGCTAGTAATAATAATAATAATAATAATAATAACAATAATAATAATAATAAAAATAGATAGATAGAATGCGAAGAAAGTAATGTCGTTTGTAGCACCCCTGCACATTTTTTACGAAGGTTTTACAGCAGCAAAGATTTTGTTTAAAGCAATATTATTATTGAGTAAATTAATAATCTATGGATAGGAAAGTGGAACTATGCATGCAAATTCATGATTTGCTGATCAAGAAACAAACTCCAAAAGTCTTATCCAAACTCATACATTTTATTTAATAAAATACGTACAGTTCAATCACTCTTTGCAAATAAGTTACATGTTCTCAAACTCCGCCTCCACGCTCCTGCAGGTCGGTCCGTGTTGTTGCGACCGCAGGTTGTCTGCCGGAGGGGCTCAACGACGTCCCCTCCTGCAGCCTTGTCTGAAGGCGCACACCAGGTACACGTCCGCGCCCCCTGTAGTAGTCCGACGCAAGTAGGAGCCGCGCGCTGGCTTCACACTCCTCCATGGTGTAGTTTGCCTCGCACAGGCCTGGCGGGTGGTCGAGCGCAGGATGCTTTACGGGATCAGTCTGGGCCGAGGCCCCCGCCACAAACATCTGCTGCGTGTCGGGTGGGCCTGGCGCGCACACACTGCCACACAGCAAGGCACACATCCCAACGCACAATGCGGAGACATGGCTGGCAGGCGCTGAAGGAGTGCTGAGGAGTGCGTTCTTCCTATAGGCATTGGCACCGATTTTTATACACTCGTTCAGTTCCCTCCTTGTTTCCTAGCTGCGAGAGAAGTGTGTCCACACTTCACGGATGTTCCTGGTAGCGTCATCGATCAGACTGTTCGAAGCAGAGATTCTCTCAACAGAGTCTCTTGCCTTTCGATATCGGGCACCCAGGGCTATTTTAAATTTTTCGTTGGGAACTTGAGCCAAAACGTCAGTAAGTGTAAGACTTTACAAAGCACCGCTCTTCGGGTTTAGAGGGAAACCTCTTAACCGTGACTCAGCTTTTTATCCGATAGCAAAATCGTCTCAATCTGCAGTTTAAGACGTTAATACTCTCAAAATCATCCACGTTTCATTTGCATATTAGAATACACTCTAAAAATCGTTTGTTGAGTTATTTTTAAATGAGTCTCTTAACTGGTATACAAATTTAGCAGTGCATTTCTTACCTTCTGATTCTACAGTGTTTAAAATAACAGGTGTTTAAACAAAGAACTCTTAGTGTCAGTACATTACGCGTTTGTAAAACTTTATTGATTATATTTAAATGTATTTATTTTAAATTGTTTTGGAAGGCATTTCTAATCAAAATACATGAAACACTACACATTTTATTCCATTCTCAGTGCATTCTATGATCTAATATGGTTTAAAACCAGCGGTGCTACAATAAACGTACTTCCTCACATTATGTCTGAATTTGCAAGATTACGAAAATACAGAGAATTTGAAGAAAATGAGACCCCCCCATTTTTAAGCGTCCCTTCTTATATTTGGGGAAAATAAATTAAAATATTGGAAAAGTTTTTGAGATTTTTTTAAATTTAAAATAAACTACTCGCTTGTAAAATCTAGTGGTACTGCAACGGCACGGTCTTTCTTGCAATATTGTTAATGATTTTGTAATATTATAATATGACAATTTCTGTTTTACACTTCAATTACCACTTGAAAAATTATTAAACAAACCAACAATACATATATTTTACCTTAATTTTAATTCAGATGTTTGAACGAAAACAGCTTTCTGCCATAGAATTCGGTGTGTTTACGTTCTACATAAATGTACCAACATGCGCGATGCGTATTTTAGATGTAAATAAAATTATTAGTTTATATTAACGCGAATGAACTGCGGCCGGCATTATCGCTTGCTGTTATCAGTGCGGCATTACAAGCAACAATGACCATTACTTCGTATGGGATACACATTTTGCAAATTAGCTTTGTTGATACCGCTTGTAAAGAAAATAAGAATGGATAGAAAATATAAGAATTAATTACAGTATTGTTATATTCATCAAAACTACTTGGTTTTTTCACCCATTACTCGTTTTTTTCACATCTTATTCTGTAATGTGAAATCATCTGTTCGTTTTCCCATTTAACACAATTAAAGGACGCAATTTGAAATAGATTCGATGAATAAATAATATTAAAAGTAATCTTTCTTTTAAAGATTCGAATGAACAGCCTCATAATAGTTCCATGTCAATATTCCATGTCATATGGCCGATGTCACACCTCATATATCCGATTGGTGCACGGTAAATTGTCTAGCCGTGTGTGACAGAACCACACATCGCACAATCGCGAGTTACTCAAATACTGTATAGGGATTAAGAGTTCTGGTTAGTGTAAAGAAAATTGTTTTAATAATTTTATTTTAAAGAAAAGATCGTATACATTTTTTCAGATAAATGTTACTGAATATTAGATTGTGAACATTTACATTGATATTTCTTTGAACTTACAAGAGAACATATGCTAACAACCTCAAGATTATCACAATATATAGAATCAGCTGCGTAGCTTGTTTTAAGATCAAAGAGTGAATTTACAGAACAAAAACTGCAATCTCAGGGTAATTTTTCGTAAAATAGGTTTAGAACTGTGAGCCATAGGAAGAAACCTTAGGGACTTAACATATTTCTGATCTCAAGGGTATTACTTTGGTTGTGTAAAATTGAATTTGTCTATTTTTGTGTGTTGCTCTGTCTCTCTGTGTGTGTTTTCTTAGAAATTGTATTCATGTGGGTGCAATTATATTGTGATTGTAAATATTTCAATTGGGTTAAGCTCGGGTATTTGCTCTCGCCTTTCCCCCTTATATTTTCCCTGAGATTGTTCTTTTTATTTTTTTGTGGTGAAGCTCAAAATCAAGGCCATGTATAACACTGTGTGCTGAACAGGGGCCTAACAGAACACAGAGGATGGAGGCCTTTCTTGAGCCGGGTCGGGGCAAAAGTTGCACAGAGAAAGTATGCGTGGATGTTCACACGCCAGACGGGTCTCAAAATATTAAGTTTAAGTCATGTACAATTTTTCGAAAATATGAGTTGTTTTTGCGTAATTTTTGTGATAATTAGTCATTTAAAAAGAAATTGTTTAAAAATGGAAGCCAAATGTTCTTTAAATTCTGTTCTCGTTTGAATAGTAAAGTAGTAAGAAATTGGCACTGATTCCATTTCCCACGTACTTTCGAAAATTGCAAATAGTTTAATTTTCAAAAGTATAACATTGGAAGTAAATAAGATCTTTAAAAATGTTCCTGAACAGTTATTAAGAAAACGAGTAGTTTTTACATAATTCTTAATTTTTTAATGAATATTATAAAAAACCATTCTCAAAAACTGTTCGAAATTTGTTGTTCAATTTTCTTTCTACGGTTAGAAGAACGGTCTCTGAAATGAATGGAGAAGTTATTATTTTCGTTGAACTCTGAAGTTTGGTGGAAGCTGTAGCTTGGTTTCCTGTTAATTTTGTTTGTTTTTTGGTAGAACACATATTTCTCGTAATTATGTAGGCACAAAATAGTTATTCGTTCTTGAACAGTTGTTTTTTTGTTTTATTTCATCTTTGATATTTCCAAATCTTATTTGTCCCCTATCATCTCATAATTCACACTTCAAGACGTAACAAACTTGTCATACAGAGGAATACACCTGAAAAGCTGATCATGGAAAATTACACACGTCAATCGTGTAGTATTTTCAGTAATGGGCAATACGCCAATAATAATAATAATAATAATAATAATAATAATAATAATAATAATAATAATAATAATAAACACGATCTCGTGGGCTGGATCATCCATGCCAAGCTACCTAAGAAATCCAGAATCCTGCAGGACATTAATACATCGTACTATTAATCTATTAAAATTATCCATAAACGGTGATTGAAAGCGAGTTCTATAAGTTGCACTGGGACCGCAGTATTTTGACAGAAAAATCCAGCATATACCCGATGTTACACTCTGGGATAAACCTGCCAGGAAAGCTTCGTTTATCGATTTTGAAGTTGTCATTACCTGTAACATGATGACTACATATCAACCGTTAGGAGTCTTATGAGAACTTTTTACTATAGTGTTCTCCTAACTGATTTTGCTCTTATATGTTCCATATTTTTTAGAATGTTTTATGTTACTCGGATATTATTGTAAGACCACATAATACGATAACAAGAGTTACCAAAACTAGGTCTAGGACTTAGCTCTATATATTAATAAATTATTTAAACGCAGTTTTTGATTTTTCCCTTTATTTATAATTATGAACTACCACGAGATACTTCCTGATGCCACTATATTCATTAATCTTTTGACCGTATCAGCATATCCAATACTCATCATTCCCTCTATTGTACACTAACATATTACGGTTACTCTCAAAGATTTAATACTGAGTGACAAATATAATAGGGAATAAATTCTCACCTATTGTGATGGCACTGGTGTATTCCGTGAAGTCTTGATCGAATTGCTCATCTGAAACAACGACGTAAATTATTTCAAAAAGAAACTGGTCCACTTCAGAGTCATTCCCAAACAAAACAAGGATTATGTAGTGGAGCCACTACAGCGCCTACTTTGTTACGTTATTTCCAACTTTTGCAGTTTTCGAGAATTCAACGAAAATGAGACATGCGTCATTCTTGTGTCCTTAACTCTATCACAGGAAATTAATTAAAGAAAATATTTGGGGCCGTTTTTGATCGTTTTTTAATAAATTGCATTTACTTGAAGCCTAAGTTCGTCAGAAACTTAAAAAAAAGTAGTCCATAACCTTATTTAGAGATTAATTTTTTAGAACATATTTCATTTAAGAAAACATCTCTATTATCATTATTATACTTTTCCGATGTTAATATTTTGCAATTTTCGAAAATACAGATAGTTTATTGAGATTAGGATGAGCATTAAGTTTACTTTCTCATGTGCGTACTGTAAGTTTATGCGAAAAATATACGAAGTGTGGAGAAAACATAGAGGAAGTATAGAGAAAATACTGAGAAAATCGATTTCGAAATTTCTTCGGAATTACAGGTTTTGGGATTACCTGATACTGAAATTGTGTTTTTTTAATACGCCAGGAAGACCATCCGTGTGTAAACAACTCTAGCGCTTAAATTATTGGTAGGAATTTTCTCAAAATGAATATTTCCCGGTCGATCTGGCAAAAATCAAAGCCCTGCAATTTTGAAAATAACGTCGAGAAACAATAAAGCTGCGTTCCCATGTGGATTGGGTTTGCATTTAACTAAAGCGCCATCTTGTGCTGAAGCACCATATAGTGGAGTTACAACAAAATGAACAGCACATAAAACATTCTGAGAAAAAATACGAAGATGTGTCAACTTTCATGGAGTTTGGTTACAGTGTGTGAGTTCATTGCACTAGCACATAAGTCAACATCCATTTTTATGTTTTATAGATTACTCACAATATGTTAAGTAGTCAGAATTAAGAAATTTTGTGAGTTTTTGATACTGAAAAATTGGTTGACAACAAAATGTGTGTTCTTTCGTCTTTGGTCAACCCTAGCGTAATAGTTAAAAATAATGGGAGAGGCATCTTCTTTGTTGTATCACTAGTTTTCCCTCTGGCCTCCGGCACAAGAATCTCAAAAACATTTTCAAAATTTTCTCCAAAAAGATTATAAGTTTTTACTTTCTCGCTGGGCAAGTAATGTTGTGCTGCGCGGAAAAGACGGCGAATTTTCGACAGAAAATCTTCTTACAGGGCCCTGGTAACGAAATGTGGATAAATCCAGTTGATAAATTAAGAAAAAAAATCTCTAGAACGCGGTTTAGCCAGAATCCATGTTTTGTGGGTTCTTGGTGACGAAAAATCGAATGAGGGCAAAACTTCTGTCTGTTCGTGATCAAAGCTAGTGGGTAAACCTACAAGCCGATTTCCCCTCAAATTGATGTTCCTCAATCGATATGGCTGATGCCACGGTCCATTGACTTTGAAAGCGATATTTAATTTTGGAAGGCACTTTATATGAAGCCCGAAACATTATCAAAATTATCAAAAAATGGCTCCATCATTTTTGAATAAATTTGGTTGTTGGATTGTGTGCAAGACATATAATTGTGCAGACCCTATTTTTGTTAAAAAGTCTAATTTTTCGAAAATTGTAAAAATTCATTTTCTTCATATTTTTACGAAGATAGATATTTTCTCCTTTAATGAAATACGTTCCTTAAAAAAGATATTAAAATAAGGTTATATACAATTTTTCGAAAATTTGAGTACTTTTCTCGTAATTTTGAGTGGAAATTCGGGCGAGAAAGTACGTGCTACGTTGACACCAATAGTTCAATTTGAAGTTTTCCTTGAAAAACATTACAAACGCTAAAAATTGTGCAGATGTAATGTTCGTTTAACTGCCTGAATTTTCGAAAAGTGCAAATGTTAAGTTAATGGGATGCGCTTGCTGCACCGTTAGTTTTCCCTGTCGCCACCGGCACGGGCCGTTAATCGCGCGTCGCCTCGCCGCCCGATGGAAACAAGAGACGGAAGCGTCAGCGAAACGGGCTCTTTCCGGCGGAAGCGGGGCCGCTGGCCGCGCCCTCTGACGCAGAGGGGGGCTGTGGAGGCAGAATGCATTGGCTGTGGCCATTTGAGGATTTCCGATTCTGGAAGGAAACTACGAGAGACGCCAGGATTTGAGGTGGTGGGTACGAAATTTGTGAGGTCAGTTGAGATGACGGTTGCGCCAGTAGTTTCTGGAGGATTGAAAATTGCTGAAGTTCTTAGTATTTCCTGGAAGGACATGTTATTTTCTAGGGAAGTGACATTTGTCGGAGACACGGTCATTGCTGGAGGCATATTCGCAAAGCATTTGCTTGGGGACTGCAATTTATCAGGGTCGTATTTGCAAGGGGACATAATATTTGCTTGGGGACTGCAAAGTACTCTTGCAAATAAATAAATGATGTGCATGAATAAATAAATGATGTGATGACGTCTGTAAATAAATGATGGTGTTGTCGTTGTTCGGTGGAAACATAATTCTGTCGTGACAATACATGTGATGTGAGTTCCACATCACAGGTAAAAATATATTCTGTCTGAGTAAAACACATCTGTTCCTCGCCCGAATTGCGTAGCACAATACAATGCAAACATTGGCTGCACGGACCTTATAGATCTAGGAATTGCGAAATATATAATCGGAATAATATATAAAAAGTGGTACTAGCCTATTTTCACATGGTTGTTGGACGCCTCTGTGACGAATGCCTGGTTTTGTACAAACCATCCAATCAACAAGTCAATTGGAGTTAAGTAGACTGGTGGCTCAGACATATCTCGGCCTTTATGGCATTAACACTAACGTGTTTGACGGCCTTCTATCTCAAAAAATATTTTACTTGGATTACGAATTGGTGGGATTAATCACTACGTAATCCCATGCAATAGACGATGTGCAGATGAAGAAGGTTGCTCTTCATTTCTCATGTAGGACTATGCGTTCAGTGTTTTCAGAAATTTCATACGTTGTTATTATTTATATAATGTACTTCAATGATTCTGATGTTCAATGTTTACTCCCATTTAATTTTTAAGAACAATTTTAAAATGAAACCTTTTTTTGACTGAAAGCCTCCGTAATCGCCAAGAGATACCATATGGAATCAGCAAATATTTCAAAAATGAAAAACGTAAATTTTATAAAACCATTATATTTAATTGTATTAGGGATAAGTTTCTCCAATAAGCGTGAAATCAAGTAGGAACTTGGAAACAATTATTTGATCGTTGATGGGTTAATCGTCGCAACGCGTCTCTTAGCCCCTGATCGAGCATTGAGCGCCTTGTCCGCAGTAATCCTCCATTAATATCCCTCAGTATTCCAGAGGGCGCTGTATTTATGTAGTCTCGCCTCGTCAAGAGGACCCCCAGGTAGCATCTCCGCGTACGCGCCTCTTACACCACGCGCCTCTGCATCGCCACCCACAATTG